GAAAATGGATAGAATTGGCAATTTGTTTATATGATTGCTTATCGACGCAATAAAATATATAAAAATGAATATATATATATATATATATACATAATTTATATTACACGTAATTAACCTATGATCTAATTATAAATTTTATCACTTTAATTAATGAAAAATAAAAAAAAATTAGCCTTCTTTACTTTAATTTATTAAAATTCAGTAATTATATTTATAAAAACTAAAAAATAATCTAGTCAGATAAGAGTTAAACATTATCATAAAATTGTAAATATAGAAAACGATTCAACAATTGATTTTATAGCACGAACCAAGGGTAAAAATGTTCAATGTTAAAAAGTTGAGAATTATCTTTGTACATAAATTATCTTATATTAATAAAAAAAATTAATATTTAATAAACAGATAAACATATATATTCATAATTAATTGTTTTGAGTAAAAAAAATAATAAAAGTTATAGAGAATTTAATAATAAAGTGATAAACATAAAATAGGAATATGAGGTGGAAACATAGATAAGGATAGGTTGGTTGTAATCGGGAGTCTCAAAATTTCCGGAATCTTGCAACTAACTTGTTTGTTTCGTCAGCAATCTGCTAAGGACAGTATCCCTAAGGCAAAGGAGAAGCAATCGTAACCCATTAATATTAATATATATATATATATATATATATATATATATATATATATATATATATATTATAATTACGATGATAATTTAAGTTAAAAATGATGTTGATGAATTTTGATACGATCTGATTTAATAGGGTTTATTTTTAAAAAAAATTGAGTTAAGGTCAGATTCTAGGGAAATATTAAGTTGGATTAGATGGAGGGTGAAAAACCTCTAACCCAATCAGATTCCGACCCAAGGGTAATAGTATAATTTTTTCCATATAAAATTATGGATAATTGTTGTAATGCCCACTCTCTTTATATTTTTTTAATTAAGTCCTTATTTTATATTGGGTCGAATCGAGTTTATAGTCCAAAATTTTAGGTCTAATCAGGTTCGAGTAGAGGAAATGTGCTCTTCGGATCGGGTTGAGGATATGTATTTTCGGGTTAAATCGGGTTCAGATGGAGGCCTGGAGGGTATATAATTTTCAAGTCGGGTCGGATTGGCCAAAAACTCGACTCAATCCAACCTGTTGTCATCCCTAATTCTAATCCTGATCCTATCTAAGGGCGGACAAGAAAATTTATAGGGGAAGAAAGGAGAATGCTCCTAGTGAGTCTGATACACATGATTTAAAGAAATATGAAAGAATAAAGATGAATAACAACTTGATTAACTGATCAAATGTACTTACTCGATAGATTTACGTTTAAATCTCAGTAATAGTATTAACAGCTTGATCAATATATATTTTTGAGTCGGATCGAGTTCAGGTGGAAGCCTGAAGATATATAATTTTTGGGTCGGGTCGGGTTGGCCAAAACCTCCTAACCTATTGCCATCCCTAATTCTAATCCTAATCCTACGAATGAAAAGAGAGACTGTAGGGGAAGAAAAGAGAATGCTCGTTGTAAGTCTGATACACATGATCTAAAAGAATAAATATGAACAACATCTTAATTGACCGATCATATATACTTATCTATTTAAAGATAGATTTACGTTTAAATCTTAGCAATAATATTAATATGGTTTGCAACAAAATTTCAAGATCATTACGACCAATTGATCAAGTACTCAGAAACAAGGATTGTCAAGTTTTCATCCAAAAAGTTGAACAGAACCATGGTTATAGACGAAAAAGGAAACAAGACAAGGGGATTATGTTACGTGCCTGTAAATGCAGCTTCCAGGGGACACTTTCTGAAGATAAAAATACAAACAAAATAATGTATTTTGCCGGAAGAAATTATTTACATAAATATTAATGAGAGAGTCAGAAAACTTAAAAAAATATATTTACAGGGGGAGGTGATAACCGATGCCCATTTTTTTCTTATAAATTGGAAGACTCGGAAGAGAAGAAGAGCTTTGCATTTGTATGAACTTTTAAGTTGTTTTTTTCTATACTAAAACCAAAAGTTCTATCCATGGCTGCATCTTTCTCTCTGCCTTCAATGGTAAGCTTCAATGGTTTCTTTTTTTGCATTTCTAGTGATTTGGTTTCGGTTTCCCCTGCCACATCCATTGGGGTTCAAGCAAATAATATTGTTTTTAATGTGTGAAAATTTCATGGACAGATAATGGAGGAAGAAGCGAGGAACGAAGCCGAAGTAGCAGAGGTGCAAGCATGGTGGAACTCGGAGAGGTTCAAGCTTACCCGACGCCCGTATACGGCTCGGGATGTCGTGGCTTTACGAGGCAGCCTCAAGCCGAGCTATGGCTCGAACGATATGGCGAAGAAGTTATGGGGAACTCTCAAGACACATCAAGCCAATGGCACTGCTTCAAGGACTTTCGGTGCACTTGATCCAGTCCAAGTAACCATGATGGCTAAGCATTTAGATTCGATTTATGTGTCTGGTTGGCAATGTTCCTCGACTCACACCTCCACCAACGAGCCAGGTCCGGACCTTGCTGACTATCCTTACGACACTGTCCCGAACAAAGTAGAACACCTTTTCTTTGCACAACAATACCACGACCGAAAACAAAGAGAGGCAAGAATGAGCATGACCCGAGAGGAGAGGGCTCAAACCCCTTATGTCGATTACCTGAAACCAATCATAGCTGATGGGGATACTGGCTTCGGTGGCACCACTGCAACTGTTAAGCTTTGCAAACTTTTCGTCGAACGCGGTGCTGCGGGAGTCCACATTGAGGACCAGTCGTCCGTGACCAAAAAATGTGGTCACATGGCTGGTAAAGTACTTGTTGCTGTATGCGAGCACATTAATAGGCTGGTTGCCGCGAGGTTGCAATTCGATGTTATGGGAGTGGAGACGGTGTTGGTGGCCCGGACTGATGCTGTTGCAGCTAATTTGATCCAAACGAATGTCGACACCAGGGATCATCAGTTTATTCTCGGTGTGACTAATCCGAATCTTAGGGGAAAAGGTCTGGCCACTATGTTAGCTGAAGCAATGGCTGCTGGGAAAACTGGGGCTGAACTCCAGGCGATTGAAGATAAATGGCTAGCCATGGCACAACTTAAGACATTCTCCGAATGTGTCATCGACGCTATTAAGAACATGAATATCGGGGACGATGAGAAGAGGAGAAGAATGAATGAATGGATGAATCATTCCGGGTATGATAAATGCCTCTCAAATGAACAAGCAAGAGAAATTGCTGAAAGATTGGGGCTCAAAAATCTTTTCTGGGACTGGGATTTGCCTAGAACCAGAGAAGGTTTCTATCGGTTCAAGGGATCGGTAATGGCTGCAATCGTTCGCGGTCGGGCTTTCGCACCTCATGCCGATCTTATTTGGATGGAGACCTCGAGCCCCGACATGAACGAGTGCACCGAATTCGCCCGAGGGGTGAAATCAATGCACCCCGAAATCATGTTGGCATACAATCTCTCACCATCCTTCAACTGGGATGCATCAGGAATGAGTGATGAACAGATGAGAGACTTCATCCCAAGCATAGCCAAGCTCGGTTTTTGTTGGCAGTTCATAACGCTAGCCGGTTTCCACGCCGACGCACTCGTGACCGACACGTTCGCACGAGATTTCGCGAGGAGGGGAATGCTGGCTTACGTGGAGAAGATCCAGAGGGAAGAGAGGAACAATGGAGTGGACACACTGGCTCACCAAAAATGGTCAGGCGCCAACTTTTATGACAGATATTTAAAGACAGTACAGGGAGGAATATCATCCACGGCAGCCATGGGGAAAGGCAAGTAACTTGTTTACTTTTTAAATTCTGCAAAAAGATGAAAAGAATTTGATAATCGATAATCAAGTTTTGTTGGGTAAAATTCATGCAGGAGTGACTGAGGAGCAATTCAAGGAAACATGGAGTAGGGCAGGAGGCGTGGAGGTCGGAAATGAAGTCAATATGGTCGTGGCTAAGGCAAGAATGTAAGACAATGGGTGGTCGAACGCAGCGTTTACCCAATTCTTGGTATTTTGGAATTCGGATTGAATCAATAAAAAATTGGTTATAATATTACTGCAAATTTGATCATTACCTTGTATTTATTTATGCTCTGTTTTGCTTTTGTTAACATCTGTGATAGTTTTACAGTGGGATGAGAAATGTTGTTGTTGTTTTTTATATGAAAAAAAAAACTATTATTTCTAGGCTTAGACTGGAGATAGAAAAATTATATAACTTTACGCTACCTTCGATCTAATATTTATTATTAACAAATACATATAAATTTTATTTATATCTCACATTTATATTTATTTTATAAATATCGTTCAAATTTCATATTAATCTTAATTCATTGTTATTCTCACGATATTAACCAATTATAAACATTTAGTGTAATTAATATTGTTTCATAATAATAATTCAATAATTAAATTAATATGTTCGTATAATAGGTTTAGATCACTATTAATAACAACGTGCATATCATAAAATCATGTAAAAATTAATTCAAAATATTAATATTTACTATCGAAATCAATATTCGATATGTCATAAGCATTAAGGAGACTAACATAATATAATAAATAATTATATTCTTTAATTGTGTATAATAGCAATTTTATTTTTCAATTAGTATATATGTATAGTGAGGGATAAAATTGGAATGTTAAAAAATTTGGGGGCCAATTTAAAATGAAGGTCATAGTTTGATGATGAAATCAAAATGTTAAAAAAATTGGGGATTAATTTAAAATAATAGTCATAGTTTATAAATGAAATTGAAACATTTAAAAGTTTACAAGATTAATTTAAAATGAGAGTTATGATAACGAAGAGAATAACGAATTTTAAGAAATCATAATAATGACAAACATAAACATATATGAAATCATAATAATCAAATCTACATATAGGGACTAAACCGAACAGATTAAGAAGTAGAAGATCTATGACATTATTAATGTCGATTTTAGTAGTTCCAAAAGCCATGGCATTCTAATAAGATTGTTAGTATATCAAACTGTAATTTGGAATTCCTCATTCAAGCAAAAAGAAAATGGAAATGGATGTCTACTTTTTCATCTCTTCATTTCTTCCATGGCTTCAAAATAGAAAGCACAATGACGAGTGCAATAACGAGGAGTAAGATAATGGCAATCATCATGCATTTTCTTGACTTTTTCTGCAAGCTTTTTGCAGTTTGAAGAGCAACAGTTCCTGATTGTACATGGTCTACTGCATTTGCAACCTATCAGCATTTCAGAAAACCAAATATCAATACTGGCCCTGAAAATTTTAAATTCTCATAACGTATCCGTCTTTTGCTCGAACAAGTCTCCGTTAACATGCACCCAGAATTGGGTACCTAACACTTAAGAGATGTTAGAACAGGAGCAAACCTGACTTTCAATGTTATCTAAAATTTCTCCTTGAGCTCCAACAACAACTGCCATATCAAGGTAAATCTGAGAAAACAATGTTCCCATTAGAATAGTTAACTAGGTAGGCTCAGAGTTCAGGGATTAGGGTTAATTGCAGACAAGTATACCTGTTGTAGATCAAGAAGCTTTTTCTCGATCTCGACCACCGCGTCATGCCGTTCTTGGATTTCCTCCACCGTGTTTAGTATCTAAAACCATAACACAATGTCAAAACCGTTCCATTGCAATGGATTTATAAGATGCGACCTAACCTGTCCTCGTCCCTGTTCTTGAATAGCCTTCTGGAAAATTTGTTCACTGTTCCCAGTTTCAATGAGGTTGTCAATTGTCTAAGACAAGAAAGCATTGTCACAGATTAAACCAACGTTCCTGTAAAGTAGACACAAGGTTCTGATATCGAACTTAAGCTCACCTGTTCGTCCGGTTTGGTCCCGGTAACTATTCAAACAACAATAAAAGAAAAGCATTAAGTATGATGAAGTTAACATGATCAGTTCGGGGAAATAAATCCGATTGTTTCGTGGTTCCAGCACTCGGTACTTGCCGGATTCTAACCTGTAGTGACCCTTCTTTCGACAACCTCCCGGTACTCATCCTGGATCTTTTGTCTGAGTGTCTGAAACAGATGACAAAATTGATAGTATCTTAAAACATGCCAACAAAGTTGTATATTGGAAGATATACCTGAAACTCTATCATCAAATCCTTGAAATTTTTCGCCACCGCACTGCAACAAGAGAAATTGTAACATCACGAATCTATTTTCGTTCAGACCGGATCGAATGTGTTACAGAAACAGTCATAATGTCAGAAGAACTAATGGATCAATTCTATTGGTTCAAAAAATGTGAAAAAGACTTACTTTGTAACATTGGTTCTGGATCTGTCAATACTTGTTCCCTTCTCGCAGCCAGGTTTCTGCCGATTGGCTAAGTTCTGAAGAGAAAAACAAAACAAAATCAGCAAATAGGCTTCAATATAGTTGAAGAGAAAAACAGGGTGAAGTGTTACATCTTTGTTGATTGCTTCTAATCTTGCTTTAACATTTCGTGCTGTTTTTCCAACCTCATCAATATCTTTCTCCATCCGCTTCTTGATAGCTTTTCAATACATTACGCCACAAAAATGAAAAGATTGTTTGAACTCGAAGCTGCTAATGCATAGAATCGATAGTTTTCGAGTACCAAAGCTTCCTACCTTTCATGGCGGATGCCTTCGTAACAGCCTTCGACTCCTCATTAGCATCCTGCAGATAAATCGCATTAGATTATATGTAACCTGTGATTATAAACATCACAAGAAATGAGCTTTTTCACATACCTTGAGTTTCCTGAGTAAACCAGAGAGCTTCTCCACTTGTTTCTCAGCCTCTTGAATCTATATTACGAGCAATAAGAACATATGTTAGCTATTACAGTCAACTAACAAAGGACTAGTTTGTGTTGTTTTAAGAAAATAGCAGACATGCTTATTGAAAGCTTCCATTCCCACGTCGGAGTTGCTTCCGGTCCCGGGAACCTGTCTTCCCATTTCGATATCGCCGTGGCCTTTGACATCGCCAGAAAATGAATCCTAGTCAAGGACGTGATAAAATAGATACGTTAAAATAAAAAAGATACCCCAAAGCATAATCCGATTCAGTGTAAAATTGCAGAAAGATACGAGGAAAAAGATGATGATTGATCAAGGAAAAGAAATAGAACTCAAGAATTTCATAATCAAAACTTAATTAACAGACTAAACAATAACTTAATAAGAATAAGGCAAACCGATTGAGGATCACCGTGAGTAAGTCGTTCATGTTGACCGAAAACAAAGAAGATGGTGTTTTGATCAGTTGAAACTTGAGGTTTTGAGGAAGAAAGAAGACAGAAAAAGAAATTTTCGTTATGAAAGAGATGTTTTGATTTGTCTAATTAAGTTTTTTTTTCAGCCGGCTCTTATAGGTTAGGAAATTAATTTAAGATTTTCAACGATACACACAAGAAATCCCATGGCGCCTATGATCTTTGCACGACCAAACAACATCGTGTGGTGACGATGTTCGGTTTGACTATCGAATACTATGTTTGCTTAGCTTTCCTTACGTGCTTATTGAGCTGTCCGCTTGGCCCGTTTTGGAATTAAATTATGCTTTTAAAAATTAACGCTAAACGTACATCTTCACTTCACTTTACCATAAACAAATTAAGACAGCTGCAGATTAGACGGTTAATCCATTGATACATGGTTAACGGTAAGAATTCTGACATGATATCGGAGTTACGGTGGTCGGCCGATAGGTGCTTCCAATGAACTCTGTTGTTAAGGTGATCAACGAGATTTCTAATAATGACAGAAATTGCTTCTGTTACCTCTACTTCAAGCTCTTTTGTTTTGAAACAGTTCACCAACAAAATTATAACAATTCAATTAGATGATACAAACACTCTGTTGTGGAGATAACAAGTTCTTTTAGTCAATTTGACTCAATACAAAGGCTCGTCAGCAAAATTTATTTAGTCAAAATCTTCTTGCAGTCAATTTGACCCCAGGACTGGTTCAAGTGTAGTTCTGCTGTGCAGAAACCTAATTTAAGAGGGTTTTAAACTAAAATGTTATTATGTTCGACATAAAAAGTTATACGAATTTGTGACATTTTCGGTTACAAAAATTTGCATTGCGAGAAGCTTAGGGCTTACAACCGTAAATGCTATGAATAAGGTAACATTTTCGGCTACAGCCGAAAATATTATGAAAAAGTAACATTTTTTGTTATAACCTGTCCAACCTAAAAAGCTACTCTTGATAATTTTTTTTTAATTACAACTGATTTCTGTTCTTTTTTAACTTTAAATTAACAAGTTGTATTTCGGTTACAGCATACCATTGGATACTTTCATGCAAAGCCCAACTAATCCATCAGTTGTGCAAAGCCCAGTTTTAGTAATGGTTTGCCACTTTTGGGCTCTTAAAATCAGACGTTGTACCCTAGTTTGAGCAATGTTGCAATTTCACAAGGGCAGATTCGGTGTGGTATCTTGATTCTGCGGCTACCATTCATCTCATTCTTGCTACAAATAATGTCATCAATTCAATTACTTATTAAGGTCTAGGTAAAATATCTGTTGCCAATTGTTTTGTTGTGCTATTTCTGTAAGATATAATATCAAAATTAATCTTTAATACATGTCAAAATGATCATTTAGCTCGTTTAATTTTTTTGGAGAGTATTCTGATTCTCATTGTTTTATTTCAAAGAAGAAGAAAAAAAACTCTTAATATTTGACCAAATAATCACTTTAACCCTTATTCTTATTTCATAGAGCATTTTAACTCAACGTTTCATTTTAAAGTAAAAAGAATCCTATTTTGGAGCATTAATCGTTTGTTTACTAATGGTTCTCATCCACGAAGGGATCTTTTTTCTCTAAAATAAAATGTTATGGTCAAAATGCTCAAAAAAGAGAACACGAGTCAAAATGGCTATTTAATTAAATGTTAGAGTTATTTTTTATGTCTTTATGTAATTGACCAGGCAACTTTATTCACATGCATGGACAAACGTAAGATCTTATGTTAGGGACGAATTTCTAAAATTTTAGGAGGAGACATACTTATAAAATTCTAGGGGCGAAAATATATTATAAATTGAAAATACAAAGAAAATATCTAAAATATATACAAATTTAAAATTTTCAGGGAAGTTGACTACCCCATCCACTCCTTTCTATGCATCCATGCTCACATACTCTATACCTTTAATTCTAAATGTTAAGAAAAATCTTCTATCAATCTCTAAGTTTACAAAAGATAATAATGCATCATTTGAGTTTTACCCAAATTTTGTCTTGTAAAGGACTTGACAACACAACAAACACTTCTTCAATAAGCCTTAGGCTGTTGATACGTTAGTTGTTAATAATTCTAATGTTCTAGTTTTGTTAATAGTCATTATTTTTCTTCTACTTTAGTTGATTATGCCTAGTTGTGTCATAGGAGATTTGGTTATCCTTCAGATGAATCTTTTAGCAAAATTGTTTAGAGATTGTAATATTTCTGCTAATAATAATAATTATAAAATATTGATGTTTTTGCATTGCATGCAATATGGGAAAAAGTCTTAATTGCAGTTTAGTTCTCCCACAACAAGACTTACGTAGAAAATACATGACAAACTTGATGACATCGAATGTACATTTATAAATTTATTTACACGTACATATGATAATACTCTCAAACCGATTTGGTAACTAAACACGAGTATAAAAATATCACATTCGAGAATGAAACAGAACTAATTAATTTAAAACATTTGATAAATGTCACTCATCTACAGATACAACTTCCTCAATCTCATCTCTAACACTTCAACCAATATCTACGTCTAGAAAAAAAATCACTCGTTGAGCTTTTCACTCAATAATGCTTACAAAAATAGTTATAAATAATATATTATTATGATTGTTGAGGAAAACGAGTTATTTCCCACACGAACGTAGTTTTAAAATTGACCTAAAATGTCAAGATTAAAACCACCAAAGGTTGCACAGCGGATAAACCTGTCAAACTATTGAATATTGAAACACAATGGAAAAGAACCAAATAAAAACAATAAAGAAACACAAGAGGAAGAGAGAACTTATTTTTGGGATGATTTCTAATGGAAATACTTAGGCCTATTTATAGTTGAGTTTTAAGAACAATATGTTCAAAGTTTGGCCACCTAACAAAGAATTTTCCAATGTGCACAAGTTAGCCACCAAATATGAAATTCACATGTTCAACGTTTGGCCACCAACCAAGATGAAATTTCCAACTTGTCAACTTAATTTCTAGACAAATATAACAAATCTCTACCTTGGCTTGAAATTACCAAGCTTACTCAACTTCTTCAACTCCCCAAATTTGTAGTGCCTCTAATTGCGTTCACAAGCGCCACACACCCGAAGGTGTTCATACTTTCAGGATGTTAATCAAGTTTAAACAATGATTGAACTTGATTACTGTTACCACCTTGGTCATCATATCTGCAGGATTTTCTGATGTCGCAATATTCTGAAGTAGAATCTTTCCTTCTTCAAAGATCTCCCACAAAAAGTGATACCTCACGTTGATATGCTTAGTCCTTGAATGGTAGACTTGATTTTTCGCTAAGTGAATAGCGCTCTGACTGTCACAATAGAGACTAATGTGACTTTGAACAACTCCCTAGTCTTCCATCAACCCGTTAAGCCAAATTGCTTCCTTTACAGCCTCTGAAACTGCCATGTATTCTGCCTCTGTAGTAGACAAGGCCATCGTAGATTGCAATGTAGACTTCCAACTTACTGGGCTTTAGCAAGAGTAAACAAATACCCAGTAGTTGATCGATGCTTATCCAAATCACCAGCATAATCAGAATCAGCATATCCAACCACACACTGACCAAGTGCTTTATCCTGTTCAAAAACTAAACCAACATCCACGGTTTGTTGGAGATACCGTAGAATCCATTTCATAGCTTGCCAATGTCCTTCTCTAGGATCATGTATGTACCTGCTCATAACTCCAACTACTTGTGAAATGTCAGGACGCGTACACACCATTGCATACATCAAGCTCCCAACTGCATTAGCATATGAAACTTTTGCCATATACACTCGTTCTTCGTTAGTTTTAGGAGATAATTGAGAACTAAGTTTCAAATGAGAAGCTAATGGGATACTTACATGTTTGGTATTTTCATTCATGCCAAAACATTGTAATACCTTTCTCATATACTACTTCTGTGTTAAACAAAGCTTCCCTCTCTGTCTATCTCTGCTTATCTCCATACCAAGAATCTTCTTGGCCTCACCTAGATCTTTCATCTCAAACTCTTGATTCAACTGAGCTTTTAATTTGTCTATATCTTTTTTACTCTTCGAAACGATCAACATATCGTCAACGTACAAGAGAAGATAAATGAAAGATCCATCTTTGAGCTTTTGCAAATACACACAATGATCATATTTGCTTCTAGTATACTTTTGCCTCCTCATAAAGCTATCAAATCGCTTGTACCACTGCCTCGGAGATTGCTTCAATCCATATAGCGATTTGTTCAGCTTACAAACTCATTTCTCACAACCACCATCTTTGTATCCTTCTGGCTGAGTCATATAGATCTCTTCTTATAAATCACCTTGCAAGAAAACCGTCTTTACATCAAGTTGAGCTAGCTCCAAATTCAACTGTGCTACCAAGGCCAACAATATTCTAATGGAGGAATGCTTCACAACAGGGGAAAATACTTCATTGTAGTCGATTCCCTCCTTTTGAGCGTAGCCTTTAGCTACCAACCGTGCCTTGTAGCGAACATCTTTCTTGCTATGAGATCCATCTTTCTTTACAAATACCCACTTGCATCCAATGGCTCTTTTATGTTGTTCTTTTGGAGAGATTGCATTTCTTCATCCATGGCACTTTTCCACTTATCACTTTTCAAGCTTTGTATTGCTTCTTGGTAAGTGATAGGGATATCATCATCAACAACTGGAAGAGCATAGGCCACCATATCAACAAATCGAGCAGGTCTATGAATTTCTCTCCTTGGCCTTGTAGCTGCAAGTGGTTCTGGTGTCTCCAATGGTTATTTGGTTTGAACCTCTTCATCTTCTGATTCTTCTATTGGAGTTGAAGAATCAGCTGCATCAACTTCTGGGATCACCGTCTGCTGAAACTCCACTTGTTTTGGAGTATGCTCCACCTGCTGCGGAGTACTACTTGTCTGGATAGCTTCACTTGTTACCTTCTTTACTAGGGAAGATTCATCAAAGGTAACATCTCTGCTACAAATTATCTTCTTGGTGTCTAAACACCAAAGGCGGAATCCCTTCACTCCATGGGTGATTCCCATAAAGAGAGCATTCTTTGCTCTCGGATCAAGCTTTGATTCCTTCAC